TTTCACTTTTACTTCTTCTTTTTTTAATACAAGAGCTATCAATATCGATGCTGTTAGTATCATTATAATAGACATTGTAATTATTACAATGTTATTGACATTACTATTAACAATATAACTGAAAATATTTCTGAAAATCAAGTAAAAGAACAGTTGAGATAGGTAATATTAGCATATGGTTTGTTGGTTGCTAAGTACTTGTGGTGTTGTGTATGTGTAAAGACAAGTAATAAACTAAACTCACAGTAGGCATGGCAGGGGCTTACATGCTATCTCCAGTGACATTGGGTTATCATAGACATTATGTTAACCATTAACCCATTCACGATGGAATGGCAGACTATCTCTCACACTATGATGACATTGTCACTTCAGACCTGCTCCAAGTTGTCTATGTACTGCTTTACCTTTTGTTTAGGTCATTAAGGAGAAACGGTCCTTCAAAAGTAGTCTGAAAGCCACTTTGCTATCCTCATTATCTGAAGAATTGCTTATGGTGGATTCAGGAGCATAGAGCAGGATAATTTTATGGTTCCTGTGCTTCTAATTTTTCCCTGAAGCAGCTCGCTTGATGTAGTTCTAGGGACTTCTGTCATGAATTGGTTAAAGGACTTGTGATCTGATGTCTGATGTAGAAGCAGTATATTGTATGCTCTATTCTAATATTGGATGGATGTCCCATATTGTTTAAGCCTGTATCTTTCCTGCAATATATGGCTCTTGTATAGAGATATATTTCAACAATGATGAGTAAATATGCTAAGGTGAAAAACAAAATAAAAAACTGATAAGACATGTAGAAGAGGGATGGTTGAGTGCAGTGATTTAGATGGAGAAGACCTTGATCTCCATTTACAGAGCATCTTTGAATGTGTAAATATTTCATCAGAAATTTCATAAGCACGCACTCACAAAAATCAAAACAAGGACTAGAAATGTCAATTGCAAAAAATATGTATATATATTTACACTCTGGAGTCACAATATTCCCCAGGAATACCTTTCAAAAACTAATATCTTTCCCTTTGCTTTTATTGTAGGCGCTTCAGGAGACCCAGAATCAGGAGAGGGCCATCATGTATGGGACAATGAGGAGGAGGGAGTAGCTTACTCCTGGTCATTCTTCCACATCATGTTTGGCCTTGCCACTCTCTACGTCATGATGACACTCACCAACTGGTTCACACCCAACTCCGACCTCACCACACTCTCCAGTAACATGGCTGCTGTCTGGGTTAAGGTAAGTTACTTGGTTTGGTTTTAGTGTTTGTTTGCTAGTGAAATACTGATGACATGCTAATTATCAGATATGCAAATAGAAGAATTTCACATATATTGCACCTGCAAATAAACACATTCATACTCTCACCCACTTGTTTTTAGTGCTGCACCAAATGAGGTCAATGAATGCATTTTAACACCATGATTTTCCATTTGCAATACAGATTGTATCCAGCTGGATCTGCCTCCTTCTATATGGATGGACCCTGATTGCACCCGCAGTCCTCACCAATAGGGACTTCAGCTAAATACCACACAGCCCAAGCAAAAGAGGGAGAATAATACCCTTTTTTCGCAAAGCCTCTGAAAATTTTTCTTTGGCGACTTTTAGATCTCCTTACGGGATAACAAGTGTCTTTGATGTGAATACTCTGATTAAAGATGAAAGCCATGGTATTTAATAGGATGAATAGGTTGTATGTGCATGCATTTCAAAGATCTTATACTTCATCCATTACATTCAAATGATTTTGTGTTAATTATAATTACCAAATGTGGCTTTGTAGTTAGAGATTCCCATAAGACATAGCAGTTAATTGATCAATTCTCCTTTATTTTTTTTTTCCTTCTTTTACTTTTTTGGATTGATATACCTGTTGGTCAGCTTTTTAGATTAAAAGGCAAAGATACATAGATACCTAAGTAAATTATAAATTGTGATGAAAATCATTCCTCTTTATCAAAGTGGAATTTGTTACCCCCAAAAAATGTGATTTGAATTTGTTTCCACTTTCGTATGGGTACACACAGACACACGTATACATATATATATATTCCTTCCTTCAAATGTCATAGGGTTGTTTGTTAAAAAACAAAGCATTATACCTTTTAGTTTTTCTTTCTTTACATCTGCTAGTCAAGTCTTAAAGGATTTTTTCTCCAACTTCAATATTAAATTCAAAATAAAACAAGGTCTACACATGTAGGTGGTGTATTTGTAAATTCATTATTGTGTAACATTAAAGTGTACGTGGTTAGTGTAAATGTTTGTAAGGGCTTGTAACAATATTTATCATTGAACTATCATTAGGTATTATTTTATTTTTATTGATTTGTTTTGAGAGTGCAATTATTAGATTTTATTAATGAAGACTGTTAGTCTGATATTTTTGTTATTTGAATTAGAATTATATATATTTTTTTTTTTCATAAATGGTGATAAACTGAAGACATAGATCTATTATTCTGTATTAGGTTAAATAAAGCATTTTAGAAATGG